TACCGCCGCTGTTGCAGGAGCATGTACACCCTTGAGAGCAGCCCATGCCTTTGGTCCTTTCTCTGGTTCACGCTGGAATGGCTTGATGTGACGGATCTGACTGCTCCCCAACGCTTGCCCAAGTAAGAGATAGCCTTGTGCGCTCTTCCGCACCCACGGGCTCTTCTCCGGGTCGTTCTCGGGGCGCTTCTCCGTTCCTTCCATCACCTCCAGCAGGTCATAGTGGTCAAAGATGTTCTCCATCTTGAAGGACCATTCAGCAAAGTTGTCACCGTTGAACTTGTCAAGCCCAAACACCCTAGGCTCATCCCTAGGTGGGCCAAGACTTGGTTGCATGGGCGCCATGGCTGAATCACAGGGTTGGCCTTGAGCTTGAGCTTCTCCACTGCCACCAGCACCTCTGCCACCCCTTTTCTCAGGTCCAGACATTGTCGAAACTGCTCCAAGGGGCTCTGATACCACTTGTTATAGTCACAATAGGCTTGAATGTGCCTAAAACGAAAGATAGAGAGCACAGACGGATTTCTGCACAGCGGCTTCAAACGTTGATAGCGTTCTGCTCACAGCTGCAAATGACTTGATTCAAATTGGATCTGGAGCGTCTTCACGTCGTCTACAATTATCAATTTAGATTGCACGATTTGATAAAGAATTGACGACACAGCGTCGGTTTGAACGAACGGTACTATGGCAGCCACTATAGTCTTAGAACACAAGATAGGAAGAGTTACGAGTTGGGAATGACTCCCAGCTCCTACAAACCCCAAGAGCCGAGGTACAGTGATGTGGAACAGTGCCACACTGTCCCCAACCACGAAGGGTCTCGAAACTACCCTTCACTAGGGCCTACACCAAGTGAAATGTTACACTACACAAAGTAATGTAACTATCTTCAATATCTTGAGGTGTACCCTTTTGGCGAGCTTCGAAATCACTTGAGGCTTGACACCAAGGCTCGGGCTCTTCATCACAAACTCATCCTTGAGTTCTTGATGGGTCTGCTGCACACACCTGCGACACGCCGAACGTTCGACACAGGACAAAATAGAAACCGCACACGACAAAATAGAAACCGCGCGCGAGACACAAACGACCGCGTAACACGCGTCTAGCGATAACTCGCTATTGACTCGACACACACACTCGACATCATGACTCAACATTCACACACAATTATAAGCATGAAATATATATTATCCCATGCCCTCATACCATTCCATACACACACACATTCACGCACACGGACAACAAGCCGAGTGCAAACCGTAGGGTTGCACCAACAAAAAGGAAAAAACATGGTATAAAAAAGTCATATAACGACTCGTACATCTTGCGGAAATCGCATCTTGCTTTCACAACCTTCCCAGGTTCTGGATTTAATTCAAGGGCAGAAATGCTATGCTCGGAACTCACTTGGGAGTCGCAAAACAGACAAGATTCGCCTTCTACGAAGGAGATGGCTAAATAGGTAGACATCCTGTTGGAACGTTCAAGTGAGGAATGCTAATTGTAACAAAGAGCATGGACGAAAAGCTGAAGATAAATATATAGAGGTATGGGCTCTAAATTGGCGTGTTGCCATGCAAGGGCTCAAAACTGACCCCAGACTCAAATGCCAAAAGCTTCCGTGACAAACTTACCGTGAGCTTACGAAATCACTCGAAAATGCTTGCATGATTTGCATGTCCAGGTCGTCGAGCACTCCCTCAGTTTTCCGGCACATGCAAGCATCTGATAGCACAAACTGGCAACCGTCGATCAGGCTTCGCACAATGGTAGGAGAACGGAGGTACGGTCCGCCAAGAGCGTGCTCTTCCGCGTCAGGCACGGCTTGCCAATCACCAGAAGCTGTGTTGTCACTGTCGTTGTCATTCTCATCCCGCCATGGATTTGATTTCCTCCCTCGCAACAGTGCGCGCCTGACACCCGGACACCAGTTCAACCACTTTCCAAACGATTTGATATCATCGCTTTCCATATCGTTCAACATTCGCTGAAACCTCTCCAGATCTAACGAGTCAGCTGTACCTTCGATCTCGACTGTTCTAGCCAGCTGGTAACGGCAGTGCCAATACCACAGCTGCGTGTCCGTCATTCGCCTGAACTTGTTTGACAGACATGCCAGGCAAGCAATGAGTGGTCCCGTCGGTTGAGCACGCTCGAGTATAGCGTAAACGAGTTCAGGAGGAAGAAGATCCATGATGCTCGAATGTCCAACAAACAGGTTCTGGGCTAAGGATGAACGAAAGGCTGCTGAGGATGAACGGAAAATGCTGAGGCTAAAGTGGAGGAGAGTGTTCTGCTGCCAAAGATGAGAGCAGTCGAGGGAAACTGTACCTGACGGTGAATCCGACAGGGAATTGTCCCCATCGCCCGGGGAGGTACCGTAGCTCCGACAATACCTAGGTGGCGATCATCTAGAAGTGCGAAAGGGATGACGATTCCTTGGGCCATTGAAACCTTCGATGCGCGAGTAGTGACCTCGATGTTCTACTCAGGAAAAGCTAATCTCGATGCTGGAGGCAAGGAGAGCTATCTCGAGATTTGAATGAGCACTGTATATTTGTTCCTCAATTGACATGCTTGGCGATGTGAGCCTGCACTGATTACATTTGCCCCAGGCATGTTTGGTTGGGTACTGGGTTCGCAGTCTTGCGAAGGCAACCTCCCGCAGGGAACTCGAGGCACGAGAGTTTTAGCGAAAGGTTGGCGAAAAATATGAAGAATAAGGGTTACGTGGGAATGTCAGATTTGGTCAGAAGGTAACTCGTTATACACGTACAGTTTTGTTTCCTTGTATAACTTTGTTCTCCTAACATCTCCAAATGCGGGCCTCACACAGTGTCAGCTGAGGGTAGGGCGGGTCTTTCTCGTTCGTTTCGGCAAAATGACACAGTTTTTCGTCCGTGGTAACATGGATATCTACAAAAGCGTGAAGCAGGAATCGAAAATTCACCAGATTAGTATCTCGCATGGCTCCCTCAATCGCCCATTTTTCGCACGCTGAGCTTGCGTGCATCTGCACGAACTTACTTCGTGATTGTACATGTACGTGTCGCGTCCTCATAGTTTGGCGATGTTGTCCATCATTTCAATTTCTATCTGCCCGAATTCAAGGAAAAGGTGGTGTGTATTTTTTTTTTTTTTGGAAAACGCAGCCTCAAGAACACCCCAGTAGAACAGCACACAAGGAACCCCAAAAGACACCCCAACGAGATACCCCCAACGAGACACCCCAACGAGACACCCCAACGAGACACCCCAACAATACGCCCCATCTAACCAAACCCCCCACCCCCCTCACCTAAACCCACCCTCTAAACCCGCATGTCCACCAAATAGGGCGCATCCGCCCACGGAGCATCCCATCCCATCTCCTCCTCAAAATCCTCCCGCTCCACCGAAACAGCCTCTGGGCCTCTCATCATCGACGCCGCGCGCAACAAGATCACACGCGCCTGAGCCCGCTGCAAAGCCACACCTATGGCCGCTTTAAGTGATCCAAGCAAGTAAGCCGAGAAACCTTTCCCCGTAGCTCTCGCCGCCCCTTTCGTCTTCGCTACCTCAATCTGCGCGTCGCCCTGTTTCTTAAGCCACCGCCCAAAACTCCCCCCCAGGCAACCCCATGTCTCAGCAATGAGAGGTGTAAACTGCACTCCCCTATGTCGCTGCAGAAGCAATTTGTAGTCCGCCGCCTTCCGCTTTTCCCTCTCTCTAGCGGCAAAACCCACCTTGCGACCAATCTGTCCATGGTGCTGCGCGGACAACGAGATAGGGTCCACCACACTAACCTCCAGCGCATGCTCCTCCCCCTCCCTCAGTCTCCGCACCGCCACATCCACCCTCTTCCCTGGCAGCAACGTGTCGTCTTCCATGGTCACGACCCCACCCGCCCCTTTAGCTATCTTCGCCACCACAAACTTAACCGCGTCGTGAACACGAGAAGGTGCGTACTGGTACTTGCAGCGAAGGGCATGATGCGGGTCAGAGGGATCAGCAAACTCAAACCCACACGCGCACTTGCCGGCGACTATCAGCTGCTGTATGGGGAGGCCTAGGCGCATGGACGCACAGATGCTCCACTCGGCTGCGATGAAGGTAGCCTCTTCGTGCGAAGGGACGGCGGAGACCCACGCCCCTGCCCCCGGGCCCTGAAGGGATGTCAAACGGGCCATGGTGGCGTCGTCGTGGGCCATACCCCGAAGAGTCTGCAGACTCTCAACCGCTAGGCGACGGTGTTGTGTGGGGAAAAGCAGCACAGGGGGGTCAGCGGTGCATAAGGCTAGGGGTGGCATCTCCTGCCTGACCGACTGTGGCAGCAGCTCCACTGCTCTCGCAAACCAAGGATCCAGCAAGGTCGTAGCCTCGGGCGTGCAAAAAAACTCCTCAAACATCCGTTCCTCCCCTCGATGTTGTCCATGAGGAAAGTTTTTCCCTCGAATGGTGGTTCCCTCCAAAATTTCGTTCTTGAGCTGAACTGTTACGAGAATGACCCGCCCTAATTGACCAACTGGAAGGTGTATTGATAATTTTGGCGCTCAACTGATGTCTCAGCGTGAAACAGGAGAATCAGCTTTTATATCCCCCAGCGTAGTTTCCTTCTCGGCCTTCGCGAGTCGGCTTTTTAGCAGACAGGCCTTCGCTTCTCTCTTCTCATTCGGTTTTTTTTTTTTTTTTTTTTTTTTTTTTTTTTTTTTTTTTAAATTCCTATTTCACTCGCTCAGAACGTTCGCATTACAGTTGCGCAATAGCACGATAGCTCTTGAAGTCAGTGGCGTAGGCATGCGCGCTTCCTTTCAGTTTCCTGTATTCCCCGAGCGTGTAAATTCTCCTTTCATAAGCTCCCTCTCGCTCGTTACCGCTGTATTCGCCGCTTCATTCATCGCCACCATCGCTTTGTCGATAGTTCTGACGACACCAGGAGTGACTTACAAGCATTAAGCGTTCCGGCCAGTTCGGGTCGCCAGGATGCCTTTTCTTTATTGTCACACTCCGGAACCATGGCGAGTCTGCTTGAGCGAACGGAGATCGGCGCGCTTGTATCGGAAAAGAGGGAGATTATATCGGTGCCCGACACCGCCACCGCGCACGACGCTCCCGAGGTAACGGGACATGCTGCGGTGAGTTGGTACAAACGTGCTTATAACGAGGGTTCTTGTTTGTGTTCAGTGAATCATTTGTACACGCACACCACTGTTCGCTCTTGCTTCCCCCTCCCCCGCGTCCCTCCCCGAGTCGATCCCCTCTTCCCTTCTTCCCCCGTGCATCCCATTTCCTTTCACCACTCTCTCCCTTTCTTCCGCGCATCTCCCAGTTCCTTTACCTCTCCTCCCCCTCCTCCTCCACTCCCCCTCTCCCCCCTCCCACGTCACCCCCCTCCTCCTTTCCCCCTCTCCTCCTCTCTCTCCCCAGCTGATGAACGCGAGCGGCATAGTGGCGCTGCCAGTAGCGGTACCGCCCGGGAAGTGATTGGGGGCGGGCGGAGCCAACATTGTGGACGGGGAGAAGCAGTACATTGTGAGCTTATAAGGAGTCGCTTTTGATTGTGTGCTCATAACGAGTCGCTTGTGATTGTGTGCTTATAACGAGTCACTTGTGATTGTGTGCTCATAACGAGTCGCTTGTGATTATGTGCTTATAACAAGTCGCTTTTGAGTGTGAGCTTATAACGAGTGGCAGTGTGAGCTGGTACATCGAGGAGGGGAAGGAGCAGTAGGGGAAGGAGCAGTACATTGCGAGCTCGTAACAGCAGCTTATAACGTGTCACGGCAGGTGGTAGCGTTTGTGAGTTTCTAACAAATGATATTGTGCGGGGTTTCCCGTACGCAGCAGTTGTGGTCCGGTAGTTGATGGTTAAACATACACACTCACTGCGCTGCACTGCACTGATGTACTAACAAGTATGGGCTGTGATGGGTCTATGCTGAGGAGTGCTACAGTGCTTCCCTTCTTTCTCCCGTTCCGCCCTCTGCTGCGCAGTGGCATGGTAGACGAGGGAGAGCGAGACGTATTACCCTTCGTGATGCTTCCCCCTCTTTGTTGTTGCAATCTTTTTTCGAGAGCTCTAAGTAAACGCCTACAATGCGGTAGGGCAAGCAACGAAGGGGAGAGACGCATCATCCTCTCTTCATTGATGTCACGCCTCGCTACTCTCTGTCACTTCCCTTGCCTCGCCCCCCCGATTTCTTCTCAATTAGGGAGTGGTGAGCATGGCGGACGTAGCGATCCACGTGGTGAGGGAGGGTGAGACAAGCTCCCTCTCACTCCTCTTCCTCACTGCTCTCTCTCTCCTCCTCCCTCCTCTCTTCCGCCCCCTCCGATCAGGGAGTGGTGAGCATGGCAGACGTGGCAATGCATCTAGTGAGGGAGGGAGCGAGGCCAGCAGCGCTCAAGGCGGGTGTGGTTAGCCTCATCGGCAACTCGCCTGAAGGCCTCTCGCTCTGGGTCGCCTCCACCTCCACGCCGTGAGTTGCAAGTAGTGAGCCTCATCATCCCTGCCCTCGTGTCCCTTCGTGAGTTGTGACTTGCGAGTCCCGAGTCTCATTGCTGCACCTTGCTGCCCCTTGTGTGCTCACCCTCATCCACAACCAGCCCGAGGGTTTCTTGCTTTGGGTTGCAAGAAAAATTAGCCTAACCCATCCTCCCCTGCTCTCCATACTTCTCTCCCCCCTCTCCCACCCAGGCTAGTTGACGTCATGGAACCGCTAAGCAAGGGCATTCACACTCCCTTCCCCCCTCTCTCTCCCCTTCCTCTCCTCTCTCCCTGCCCTGCCAGCCTAGTTTACGCCATGAACCGCTAAGCAAGGGCATTCACCGCCTGCTCCTGCGCTGCCCCATCGCCCCCGCTGCTACCACCCCTCAACACGTCCCTTCCTCTGCTGCTCCTCCAACTGTCATGACCTTTGGCCACGCCACGCCTGAAGCACTTGAGACAGAGGAAACACCGGCAGAAGGAGCAACAGAAAGAGCAGAAGCAACAGCAGGAGCAGGAGCAGCAGCAGCAGCAGCGGCAGATGCTCCTAGGCCGGCAACAGGAGCAGAAACAGCAGCACAAGAACCACCCCCCGCTCTCAAGCACTCCTACCACTTCGTATCCCAGACTGACGTGGCATCCTTCCTGCTGCTCCACGTGGACGCCCTGGGTGACGTGGCACAGCGCACAGTGGAGCAGCTAGGCCTCGCGGACCCGCCCTTCCCGCCCCCTCGCTATAGTGTCTGGCATCACAGTCACTGACGCGCTCAGGCTCATGCAGCGCGCGGGAGGTGTGAGAGCAGTGGCGGTGGTGGCAGGGAGTGCGGAGGAGGAGTGGATGGAGGAGGGCGAGGGGTCTGGGTCAGGAGCTGCTTCTGCTGCTGGTGCTGCTGGTGCTGCTGACATGGCAGGAGGAGGAAGGGGAGGGGGGGTTGGGGGAGGGAGGGGGAGGGAGAGGGGTGAAGCGGGGTGGGTGAGGGGTGGCCGGCTGCTGGGGACTCTGTCAGTGTCGGATTTGAGGGGCATGGACGCTGAGACACTAGCTCAGCTCACATCCATGAAGGTGAGGGCTGATCCAACCTCCTGTGTGCAGAGCAGGTGTGTGTATGAGGGGGGTGGCCAGCTGCTGGGGACTCTGTCGGTGTCGGATCTCAGAGGCATGGACGCGGAGACCCTAGCGCATCTCACATCCATGAAGGTGAGCCTCGTGAATCACACTCTAGCACAGCTGACATGCATTTAAAGTGAGAGGTGGTCCACGCACCTGCGCTGCTGACACATGTATGGTTGGGTGCGGTGCATGTAGGCATACCTCATGCTGCCTTTTGAGAAATATCATTCTTGTTGCTTGCAGCTTTCACAGGTGCGGGACTTCCTGGCTCACATGGCGTCGCTCACCCTTGAAGGTCGCCGCCCATCCATCACATGCCGCATGGCAGCGCCTCTGGCGGAGGTGATGGCGCTGGCAGTGACCAACCGCGTGCACCGCGTGTGGGTCACCGGGGAGGATGATGAGCTGCTGGGAGTTGTGCCCCTCGCCGATTGCATCGATGCTTGCAGACGGGCAGTGGCAGGGCAGCAGGGCGGCAGGAGAGGAGGGACACAGGGGGAGATGGAACCGGGCCTCAGGAAATCCCCCCCTGCTCTGGGCTGGACAGAGTGGACTGGCTGGTTGGGCGGTGGAAGGGTGGGGATACTGCTGGTTGGTGGGGAAAGCACGAGTGCTGCTGACCAACTGTGTATACATGCAAGCTCAGAGTGTTGTGCGAGATTGGAGTTGCGATGCTTGCTGACGCTCTTGTGGCATGCACAAGGGCGGTGGGTGGAGAGGAGAGGGTAGCAGCAGCAGCACAGCACATTGATGGGTAGGTAGGGCATGCTAGTCGTTTCACTTGGCCACATTAGGTGGGACTACGGCATGCTGTACATCTCCCTTTTCGTTAAAACTTTCCAGACAACCCTCCCACATGTTCCAAATCGTTCCTGACAATGGTAGTTTCGGCGAGGAGTGTCTGGTACAGGCAGGAGGAGGGCAGCACTGGGCTGGAGATGGAGAAGCAGAGTGGAATGGCGTGGAATGTGACGGTAGGAGTGTGACTGACGCAGGAAGTGGAAGCATGGAGTCATATAGAGATGTCTGCACAGCATGGGAAGAGCACATTTTCCCCCAACTGCTAGGTTCTTCCCTTGTTTACTTCTCGTCAAGGTAGAGCGAAACATGCCTCAGCAAGGTAAGTGTGCTACAGCACGGCAACACGACATTCAACTGAAGGACTTCAGAATTATCAGAAACTGTTTGGGTGGAAACGATGACGATCAAAACGCAGAAGGCGTGCAAGCAATGCAACATACGGTACAGTATTAGAGGCGCGATGTACAAGAGAACCACCAAGTGCAAGGCAATGTGAGATGCGTAAGCAGCATCAGCACACACTTCCCCATTGAAGTGCCAGTCTTGATCAAACAAAAGGCTCAATGTTCACCAGGCCCCACGATATTGTCAGAATCAACAATGCAGGAGTGGTTGACTCGCAAGCAAGGATGAGTACAAGTACTAGGTTTGACCTTAAGTGAATGGATTGTGAAAGCTTGCTTTCTGCAACTTGTAAAGGCATCGTGCTTCATTTCATATGGGTATGAGTACATCAATCTCGTCCAATGATAACTACGATTACAGCAAGAATCTTAGAGACAATGACTACCTGGGTGGGTGGGTGGGAAACTCAAACTTCGAAATTGAAAAGAAGAACGTGGGTGAGGCCGAATGGCCTCAACCCCCTCTTTTGTAGCCAAAAGAGGGCGAGTAGCGATGCGACGCTGCCTTTGTTGCGTTGGCAATCGCTACACTTTCACAATACACAATTTTGAAAAGTGTTACACACTTTTAAAAATTTTCATAATTTGACACACCCCCATAGGCAAAGTGGGGGATAGCAAACACAACGAACGGTCACAAAACCAGTCAAGCAAGAGAACAAAGCAAAGCAAAGCTCAGGGTGGATCTCAAGGACGACACCACACAATCTGAGCACAACCAAGCAGCCACAAGGCCAGTTCACATGCAGAGTTATAATAGCAAGGCAGTACACTGATCACAACCTAGCAAGAGTAAACAAGTAGGTATAAAGATATATATCAGTGTACAACAAGAGCAAGTCAAGCAACCAACAGGTGAGACAAAATGGGCACAAGCCCAAGAGCAGTGCAGAAACACTGATGATCACCAGACCCAAGGGCCTTGGTGAACACATCAGCAGTGTTAGCCCGCGAGACCATGTAGGAAAGGCGGAGCTGACGACGCTGCTGCAGCTCACGCGCAAGGAAGTAGCGAAGAGCAATGTGCTTCGTTCTGTGCTCCAGTCTCTGCTCGTGACACAAGGCAAGCATGGCCTTGTTGTCAACGTACAGAACTGGAGCAGAACGAGGCCGCTCCCCCAAGTCGGTCAGCAGGTAGGTCAGTCAGCGTAGCTCCTGTGCAGCCATGGCCCCAGCGTAGATCTCGGCCTCATAGTTGGAACCAAGCACAGAACAAAAACGAGTGGACCTCCACGAGACAGAACCAGAGCCAAGGCTGAAGGTGTAACCCTATGACGAACGCTGAACCGCCTGGTCGTTGGCCCAAGAAGCGTAGGAGTGTCCTGTGAGTACCACTGAACCCTGTCCTCCAAGCACGAGCCCCATGCTCGATGTACTACACAAGTAACGCAGTACCCTCTTCGCAGCATCCCAGTGCACCTTTCGGTGTCTACTGGGAGCCACGTAGCGAGCCAGGAGGCTGAGAGGGTACGCGAGGTCAGGTCGTGTGCACGTCATCAGGTACTTGAGGCAACCCACAAGCTCTGGGTACGGACCACTCGGCTCTACGTGTTATAGTCACAAAAGGCTTGAATATGCCTAAAACGAAAGATAGAGTGCACACATGGATTTCTGCACAGCAGCTTCAAACGTTGATAGCGTTCTGTTCACAGCTTCAAATGACCTGATTAAACTTGGATCTGGAGCGTCTTAACGTCGTCTACAATAAGCAATTTAGATTGTACCATTTCATAAAGAATTGACGACACAGCGTCGGTTTGAACGAACGGTACTATAGCAGCCACTATAGACTTAGAACACAAATTAGGAAGAGTTACGAGTTGGGAATGACTCCCAGCTCCTACAAACCCCAAGAGCCGAGTTACAGTGATGTGGAACAGTGCCACACTGTCCCCAACCACGAAGGGTCTCGAAACTACCCTCCACAAGGGCCTACACCAAGAGAAATGTTACACTACACAAAATAATGCAACTATTCTCACTATCATAAAGTTTACCCTTTTGAAGAGCTTCGAAATCACTTGAATCTTGAAACCAAGGCTCTGGTTCTTCAAGATAATTTTTTCCTTGAGTTCTTGGAATTCTGCTGCGCACACCTGCGACACGCCGAACGTTCCACACACGACAATATAGAAAACCGCACACGACACGCAAACAACGACGTGACACGCGACTAGTGATAACTCGCTATTGACTCGACACACACATTCAGAACCATGCCTCATCATCCACACACTATTATCTCATGCCCTCATACCATTCCATGCACACACGCATGCACGCACACGGACAACAAGCGGAATGCAAACCGTAGGGTTGCACCAACAAACTTCCCCTCGGATTGTTGGCCTTAGGAACTTGCTCTCTCAGTTCAAAGCCATCCCAGCCAACTTGCAACACTTCCAATGCTGCTGCTCCACTAGCCTCTCGGTCAACATGTCAGCTGGCTGCCTTGTCGTCTTCACGTAGTGCAACTCAACTTCACCCGCGGCCACCATGCTCCTCGTCCAATGCCATTTCACCCTCATGTGCTTCGTGAGGCCATGCAACACAGGGTTCTTAGCAAGAGCAATGACACCCTGGCTATCACAGTAGAGTGGGGTAGGTCGTTGCTGCTCCTCCCCCAATTCAGCCAACAAACGCCGCTGCGACACAATCTCCCGTACGGCACGGAAGAGTGCCATGTACTCGGACTCCACCGAGCTCAATGCTTGATCCACCTACTTCTTGCTCTCCCAAGCAGTTGGGCCTCCACCAACATGGCAAATGAAGCCTCCAACACTTGTCAAGTCCTCTGGTTAAGAAGCATACGAAGCATCGGAGAATGCGGTGAGGAACAAACGCCCGGGTTCAACACCATCCGCGCACTTTTGGCGCCTTTGCACCGCTGCCGAGTATTGCAGCCCAACCGTCGCTGTTTGGCCAAGATACTTAGCCACCCTCATTCCAGCAGCTACCTGCTCCTCATTAGGGCATTGAACAGCCCTAGCCAACTGTCCGGTTGCAAAGGCGACGTCCGGTCGGGTGTTTACCGCCGCGTACATGAGGCTGCCCACCAACGAGTGAAAACGGCGCCTCTCCTCTTCACCAACGCTCTCCTCCTCTGGTCCCTTCACACACTTGAACCCAGAGGGAAAGGGTGTAGCCACATGGTCTTCACTCTGCCCAAAGTTGGCAGCCAATGCCTCCAGGTACTGTCGTTGATGCACCCGCATGCACCGCTTCTACACATCTCGTTCGATGTGGAGCCCAAGGTAGAAGCTCACGTCACCAAGGGCCTTGCACTTGAACTTGTCTTGAAGCTTCAGCATCACCTCCTTCACAAGATCAGAGGAGGGTGAGAAAATTAGGTTGTCGTGCGAACGAACCTGCTTTCGGCCGGTCAGTTGAAGGAGAACGGCGTGAAGCTGCAGGAGGACGGCGACGGGATGTTGCTCGTCTCGGCGACGGGAGAAATCCTTGGTCGGGCGTCCTACACCGGTCGAGTCCTATGCACCAACCTGCTGTCAAACTTATATCTGCTATAGTCTATTTAGGCTGTAGTGGGGTAGCTCTTAGAGGGTACAACACTTGTGTTTTCTACTTGTACCCATCTCAGTTTCTAGTTCATTCATTCTTTCGTCAATTATCTCACATGGTATAGAGCTAGTTTCGAGTTTTTTTTTTAAGGGCCCACCACTGAAATTTTTCTTACCTGCTCGACGCGCGTGTCGCGCCTGCCCTTCGAGGCCCGTAGCGGCCCCTGCGCCTTCCCTTAGAGCCAGCGCCGGCCCCGTACGGCCCCGTAAGGCCCCGTTTTCGGCCCCGTTTCCGGCCCTGTAAGGCCCTGTTTCCGGCCCCGTAAGGCCCCGTTTACGGCCCCGTTTAAGGCCCCGTAAGGCCCCGCAAGGCCCCGTAAGGCCCCATTTACGGCCCCGTTTAAGGCCCCGTAAGGCCCCGTAAGGCCCCGTAAGGTCCCGTTTACGGCCCCGTTTAAGGCCCCATAAGGCCCCGTAAGGCCCCGTTTACGGGCCCGTTTAAGGCCCCGTAAGGCCCCATCAGGCCCCGTTTAAGGCCCCGTTAGGCCCCGTAAGGCCCCATAAGGCCCTGTAAGGCCCCGTCAGGCCCCGTTTGCGGCCCCGTCAGGCCCTGTAAGGCCCCGTCAGGCCCCATTAGAGGCCCCGTACGGCCCCGTCAGGCCCTGTTAGCGGCCCCGTCAGGCCCCGTCAGGCCCCGTAAGGCCCCCCCCGGCCCTACCCCAACCTGTCGCGGCCCTGCGCCGGCCCTGCTGCGGCCCTGACGCAGCTCTGCCCCGGCCCTGCTCCGGCACTGTTGCAGCCCTGCCCCGGCCCTGGCCCCGGCCCTGCCCCGGACCTGTCGCGGCCTCGCCCCGGCCCTGTCCCGGCCCTGCTCCGACCCTGCCCCGGCCCTGCCCAGGCCCTGCCCCGGCCCTGCCCGGCCCTGCCCCGGCCCTGCCCCCTGCCCCGGCCCTGCTCCGACCCTGCTCCGGCCCTGCCCCGGCCCTGCCCCGGCCCTGCCCCGGCCCTGCCCCCGGCCCTGGCCCTGCTCCGACC